GTGCAGTTCTAGAGCTGGCAGCAGCTCAGTCCTGGAGGAGGTAAGCCTTGATCTGCACAGTGATTTATCTTGGAGGGCTAAGCAGCCAGTAGTAAAAACTGGTTTTGAGGAGAAGGATATCCAATGATGAAATCACCAAAAATAGCTGGAATTACCGGCAGATTGGCAGTGGTGAGCCTACGGTTTTCTGAAGATATCTTTATGATTTGAATGACTGTTGGTGGGAGCAGAAAATAAGATTGATACTCAGTTTCAGTTTCTTTGCAGGCGAAGGACCTGAAGCCGCCATTGATTCTGTCTGAGAATCTGTGTGACTGGAACATGTGCTACAGAAGACACAAGCTGCAAAAAAAAAAAAAGAAGACACAAGCTGCTTACCTCCTGTGTCAGGGCTTGTCAACAGATCTCATGTATCTGGCAGTTTTTTTCTAAGACATGCATGGCACATTTGGGTGTCATTCATTAACTTGCCCAATAGACAGGAGTGTCTGTCTTAGGATAAATTTATACTTGCATATGTTATTATTAAATAGTATTATAATAAAGGATGGTGTTTATATCAATTCTTAGAAATACATATTGGAATAAAAAGTTAAATATGACTATTGTAGGTATTCACAATCAAGTTTATAAACTTTGGTCAGTCTTGCCATTTTAACTGTGAGGCGTTTAACGCATCCATGGTTGATCCCAATCCCTACTGCCTTTATCCTTTGAAGTATGTGAGGTGGCTCTATACTGAATACCGTGTAAGGACATGTCAAGGCTCCATAGTTTTGGCTGACCCACTCATAAATTGATCTGGTTTAAGAATGGTTCCCAGTTTCTCTGGGGTAGGGATTGTGCCTAGAAGGGCTTTTAAAAATTGGTAGGGCCTTTCTGTCAGGAGAATTGAGTCAATGGTAGGTGAAGGGACAGAACTTGCTGAATGGGGCTCCCAGGGCACCCACAGTGAGGCCGCCATGAGTTTGGGTCATTTTTAGGGTCCTGGTTTTTGAGAGCCTCCTGCAGTGGGTTTTAGGAATGGGTTAAAGTACTGGTATTTCGGGGACTGAGTGGAAGAGAAATTTGTGAAAGATCTGAAACCCAGTTAGTAGATCAGTCCTGACTGAGAAGGAAGCAAGGCTCACCACTGGGCTGCAAAGTGAGGATATGAGGCTGTACCAGGGCCCAGGGGTCCCGGCACCTGGGCTGCCATCGCCACTACAGACTGTGTCCATGATGCTGTGACTGAGTGGGGATAACTCGTCGGGAAGGCCTCCAGTGGAGGTGTAGGACTTCCATGCTTGCC